TATATATCCACTCCAGCCCAAGCTGCTATTAGAAAATATAAAGATGCTGTATATCCCCTCTCCATTTGCTGAAAGAAGATAGCAAACTATCAATGAAATCTTACATGTATCTACTCAGAAAAAACTCTTGAGTAGTTGGAGGTTCGCTGCACTACCCTGAACCCTACTGTATAGAAAGCAACATAACACAAGCATAGACTTGCAGTTGTTAGAAAACTGTGAAAACGTAGGAGGAAAGTGATTAATGTGAGTATGAACACACATGCACAATTTTTAGGATAGCTTTTGTACAATTTTTGTTAAAAATAGAATTTCCTTTCTAAGATCTCAAGATTACTAACAACAAAATGCAATTAAAGATGCTGCAATAAAAGGAATAAATAAAAAGAATATTAACAATGTCAGATGCTAAAAATATCCAAGACAAGTGGTTTTTGTGCCAGGCATACCACAAACAAGTGTGGCCTTTATACTGCAATGGCCAAAATCTCATCATTTACACCCACCAGTGGGTAAATCTCAGTGGTCAATTGCTGATAGTTAAGTCAATGTGTGTATTTCTTGTCTCACACCAGTTGCACAACTTGGTACATGATAAGAAATACAAACACTGACTTCTTAACTAGTGACAAGTCACCACTGAAATTTACACCTTTGGACTTACTTGTTTACTTACTTACTTACTTACTTACTTACTTACTTACTTACTTTCCTTCCTTCCTTCCTTCCTTCCTTACTTCCTTACTTACTTACTTGTTTGTTTGTTTGTTTATACCCTGCCTCTTTCCTTGAAAAAGACCCAATAAACAACAGATAAATAACAACAATAAACATAATTTTAAATTGTATTTTGGCCTATATCTTTTAAAAGAATCAAGCAAATTTCAGTAACTGAGTTCAATGGTCATGTTTATTACTGCATAGATGTCTCATATGAACGGGTTTCTGAATTTTTTTTAATAATAATAATAATAATAATTTATTGTCATTGTAAGTATATACACATACAACGAAATTCTGCCAACTTTAATTTATGTCAGTACTTTCTATTTATATTCATGTAAGGTACTGGCAGGGCAGGAAAAAAATAAAGAAACAAAGACTCTGCCATATTTTAATACAGTAAGTAATATTAGAATACTGAGTTATATAACGATAGCCCATGTGAATTGTTTCATATCGTGCCATTTATTATTCAACTACAATAATTTCAGTAACTGAGTCAGATTTAAGAGAATAATCCTGTTGAATTTAGTGAGAATCAATTGGCTTAAAACCTTCTATTTCAGCTAAACACACTGTGAATTATGTTGCTAATAAGATCATGTGTAAAACAGCAAATTCCCCAAATGGGCAAACACAGGGTACAGGCTAGAACGTACTGTCCTACTCCAGTGACAACCTCTTAAATGATGAACTCTCATATTACCCCAGCTCACACCTGCCATCATTATTTACAAATGAGGTAAGCACGCAGTTGTGTTTCTTACGCATAATAAGAAAATCCTGTTTATAAGTCCACCTGCTGGGTATCCAAGAGAACATGACTCAGCCTGCTCTGAATTAATGCTGTGATGATACCAAGTCTAGCAGTTCCACCTCTCCAACGATAGAGAATAACGAAATGAGCACTCTTTTTTCGCCTTTAACTTGGCCTTGTTTGTTGTAGGCAATACCTGTGAAGTGACTTTGTGAGTTTCAGTTTTGTAAAGTTATTCATCATTAATGGGAGCTGATCATTAAGGGGAGAAAAAACAAGGGGAAGGATATTAAAGAGAAGGAAGACCTGAAGTGGATTAAGTAAGGTATTCTGCACAAGCCCTTTCATTCTTCAAAGGTGACAGTCTGCCCTATCAGACAGAAAAGAAAAGAAAAGAAAAATTTTGTGGCACTTTAGACTTATTGCTGTGTTTTAATCTGAGCTTTTGTGGACAGGTCAACTTCTCCAGACAGTTTACCATAGTATTCTGACTACAAAAGTATGGTTTTGCCAAGGCTAGTTTACAGATGACCTTTCATTTATGCCATCAAAAGCTTACGACCTTTAAAGCTGGGTTCTATTTCCTACATTTTCTCCAAAAACAAGTATGGTGGCAAACTGCCACATATCTTCTTGAACATAATATCACAAGACATTAGCCTTGACAAATCAAACACTTAACAGTATTTTGTGTATTGATTTCATGGTCAAAACAAAACCAAAACCCCTAGAACAGTTAATGTCAAACTTATCAAAAGTTTCTCAATGAGTGAAATAATGAGAAAGAAGACTTCTTGAAAGATGGGTTGTTCACCATTGTACTCAGTTGCCTTACTGGTCCTCCTTTGTCATAGGTAAGTGATATATCTCCAGGTAATTCCTCAGTCTCTTGGAGCAACAGTGAAACCCAACAGGCCTAGTCAGCACCATGCATGAGCTGACTGAAACATGCCCCAGAATCCTCTGCAATCACAGATTTACTATGCTACATGTCTTAGGATACTTTGTTAGACAAGACATATGGGAAAACATTCCCAGAAGATGAAAATTTTTGAAAACCACTGTATTATAGAAAACAGTAATGGCTGGAATTTGCAATTTAGTTCAGATTTTGAGTTTCATAGTGCTCTGCTATCGCAGCCTGATCTGACTGTATGTCCTCTCCATGTGAACTATAACTCCCACCAACCCAACATGGTCATAGTGGACGGAGAAGATTAGAATTTTAGTCCAAGCATCTGGAGGATTCTAGTCTGGAAGAAGTTTTATCATGGCATGGAGAAAATGCCTAGCCACTTGTCTGCCAGGGATGTCCTTCATGTTTCAGAGCGATCTCGTGTTTGTGTCTACAGAGATATTTGGCCCTGATGCCTGAAGATATTTAATACCCGACTGCTATAGCATACAAAAATGTGCTAACTCAACCATGTGGACCATCATTCATATATATTTATATGCAAACTGTATTTAACACAGTGAGTTGTCAAAGTCTCAGTCCAATTTCGCATGCATTTAAGAAAACAACAGCCTTGCAACATGAAGTCAATGCAATTTATCCATTCAAAAAAGTCAAGCTTTGACCCTTTGACATTTGAGATCTCTATCAACTGCTTTCTCAAGCTACAGAAAAGTTGCTGGCTGCTCCTTAACTGAGTCACTGGAGATGAACATATATCAAAGCAAATCAAACACCTGTTGGGGTGTTAGAAGAGAATTAAGAACAGAATTAAGATATATGCTCAGGAAATTAAACACTGAGGTTGGGGTGCCTGTCCACTGTCAGCTTTGTTCGGAAATCAGCAGCCAGATTAACAGAAACAGCTCATTGTTGTCCAGTGGGACAACTTAGTCAGAAACAGCACCAAAAGAACTTTGTTCTACCAGTTGGTATGGGGAAATCCAATTCCAGTACCATTCCTTAGATTATACCAGTGGTTCACCTTCTCCTAATCCTCCAAGGCCAAAATTTCTACAGGACAGTTATGCAATAAAAAAGATGTCTGCATGTCTTTATAGTAGGCTCTTTGCTAAACCCATCTATACAGTTAGAACTGATAAGGACAGTGTTATACAGAAAGTAAGATCTTCAGAAAAGCTTCAGTTTATGAATGTGGGATTTTCTGTACTGTACCATGATTCAAAAAGCCAGGAAATTGCCTGAGATTGCTGCACAATATTGCCAGCAGGAAAAAAGATGCAAACCTTTACATAGTAAAGGGCTGCCTGAATGTTGACAACATCAACCAGTCAAGATGGTCTACAGCAGGGTTTCCCAACCTTGGGCCTCCAGATGTTTTTGGACCAACTCCCAGAAATCTTGGCCAGCAGAGGTGGTGGTGAAGGCTTCTGGGAGCTGTAGTCCAAGAACATCTGGAGACCCAAGGTTGAGGACCACTGGTCTACAGGATAATTTTTTCTGCTTACCAGACATGAAAGCTGACCAAGAAAAAAAAAGAAGAGCAGAATATTATGTCCCACAAAGGAAAGATCAAGTTTCTGCCAGAAGGTTTGCCTCTAGATTTTGGCAACCTGTAAATGACTCTGCCCTGCCTGAGTCTTGCTTCCAACAGACTACCACATCTGTCCTACTGGAATTTACAGATCCATATTTTAAAAGAGAACTTCATAGTTCCTCATGTTTTGAGGTGTTTTGGACTGATTGTATTTCATCTTCAGTAACTTCATCCCATTAAAAAAAAACTTACTGCAGTGGCTTTGGTGGACTCAGCCTCTTTAAAGACAATTTTCATATGGCCTCTGAACTCCCAGACCAGAATCCTAGGACAGAAGCAGGCTCTCCAGATGTGGTTGATTTGCAGCTTCACCACAGATGATGCTGACTGGGTCTGATAGGAACTGCAGCCCCCTCTATGGAGGGCCACAAATTGTTCATCCTCGATGCTCTCTGTGCTTACTTGTGGTTATTCTACACATGTTCAGATGCATTGTGTGTTCCAACTCCGAGCCTAGTCATTTAAATGAGCAACGCAAAGCCAGTTAGGCACCTACACCTGGCAAGCCTTACTGTACCCCTAGTTGAGGATAGGCCTTGCTTGGCTTAAGAGAGGAACTCTTGCTTTGGTAACAGAAGAGCTGCTGTTTACCGATCAATGTAGGAAACTGCCTGGGGGGCTCGTTTCGCGATGACCCTTACTCCCGAGGAGGTGCTGAATTTGCAGCTTGCAGCTGCTGGGCGGCTATTCCTGGCTGCCCCTCCAGTCCAGACAGGTGGACCAACGCGAAGGGAAGGGAAGGGAAGGGGGCGGACTAGAGGGCGGCTGAGGGACCTATAAACACCCCCTCCCTCCTCGGAGAACAGCAAGAAGGCACCCCTGTTGCACGAAACGGGCGGAGAGTGAGCGACCGACGGACAGATCCAGGCTTCCTTTCGGCAGAGTTTCCCTCAGTTGGACTCTGAAGCCGGCTGATAGCCTCACCCGCACCTCCGCCGGACTCTCCTTTGGCCTCTCCGCCCGGGAGCACCCAGAGAGAGAGAGAGAGAAGCCCCCGAACTCTGCCGATGTCTGACCAAGAGGCGGCCCCAGAGGCCCCACAGGCGTCTCCAGAGGCTCAAGCCCCATCCGCTCCGACAGAGGCGGCCCCGGCGGAACCAGTCCCAGCCCCTGCTCCTGCCCCAGAGCCGGCTGCCGGACCGGCCGTCGGAGCATCCCCGGAGCCGGAGCCCGCTCCACCCGTGGCGGAGAGCGCCCCGCCTGCCGCTCCAGCTCCAAAGAAGAAGTCCAAAGAAGGTGAGGGCGACGGACGGGACCGGAGGGAGGGAGGGAGGCGGCCAGGGAAGGGTGCGCTCGCCCGCCCGCTCGCCGGCGCTCTCAACCCAGCGGCGCGCAGGAGGTGCCTGCCTGTGAGAGAGCCAAAGTGGCGATTTCCCCACGCGACAGATGAGGAGAGTTTCTACCCGATCTGCCAAACCTCTTATCACCTCTGTCGGAGGAAATGGTCTTACACCAGATCCTCGAAATGAGGATGCCCATCTGGCCCTATACTGCCCAGAGCCTGGCGACTTGATATTTGTGAAGTATATATATTTTCCCCCCATAATCTCCACCGGTTACTTTTGTGAACTACAGTTCCCTGGCTGGTGGGCTCTGGGAGCTGTAGTTCAGGAAATTTAGGGTTTCCAGCACAGTGTCTCCAGAATCAGGTACAAGTGAGGGAGAAAACCCTCTATGCATAGAGCTGTTACTCATGTGGGTACTTCTGTGCAACGGGTCACCCCTTCCTACACTGCCTGAACTTGCCCAAGAGTGACTGAAGGACTCTTGATCAGGCAAATCAAATCACGCATGAAAGTAGCATTGTCAGGATTTGTCCACTCATATAATATCCCCAGTTCAGAGCTACATGTATGTGTAAGAGCTCTTTTCATGAACTCAGATGAATGTTTGGGTGTTGGAGTAGAACAGACTGTTGCTATTAGGGATATAATAGTGGCATGCCCCCCAATCTATTCAGATCTTCAATGAATTTGAAAGCTTTGCCTATGGGAATTGGTCGGCCAAGAGTGAAAACACTAAAATATGAATTGAATATGAGTTCTCTGATGGGAAAATGCCAAAATATGTGGGTTCTCTGATCGTCTGCTTAAGCTCTTGGGATGGGATAACTGTGAGTTAATATCGTAAGAAGATTACTAATGGTCTTTGTGTTTGTGGTGACAGACTCTCCTGGTGCCCCAGTGAATCTGACACTGGATGATGTGAACGATGATTCTGTGACTCTGACATGGGATGCACCAGAGAATGTGGGCCCTTCTGGCCTGGATGGATACATGGTGGAATACTGCAAAGATGGAAGTAAGCTTGAGCATTACTGTCTTGTAGGCATGAAAAGCTGCGTCTATCAATGTGGAAATAGCAGAGTGTGGTTTGCTTCTTCCTCTGTTGATATATCCACAGCAACAGTATTGGGTGGCAGATGAACTGCATGCAGTATTCAGTGAAACCTTGAAAACGACTGATCAGGTATATAGGAGATATTACATTCCTATTCTTTTTAGCATATAATTTTGGTTTTGCACCTTGTCTTGCCATTTACATACCTCCTTCACTGGGTTCACGCTTTGGCTCAGGTTTGAGCTCAATTTAAGGAACGCTAAGAGTATCAAAAGTGGCAAATGATAGGGTTTTAAACTCTCTAGAATTTAACGTGGGCTCTCTTTTTTCTAGAATCAGGCAAGTAAATTAGAGACCCTTCTGATGTTGCTGGACTGAACACTTGAAACCATGGGTTTTGTGACTATAACTCAGAGAATTCCCAGCAGACTTGTAGTTGTGAGTTGTGTTCCAAAAAAGGGAATATTTCCAAGCTCTGATTCATATTCTCATTAGTACCAGGCACCATGGCCAGTGGCAGGAATGATGCAGGGAGTTAGCACAACAACAGTTCGTGGTCCACAGATTCCTCACCTCTTTTTTTTCAGAATTCTGAGACAAGGAAATATTCCAGAGAATCCATAGCTTTCCAAAGTCAAGTTCTGCTGTAATTCAGTCCAGATGCTGAGCAACAGTATTTGCTATACTGGGGTGGGAGATTTAATATGTGCAGAAAGTCTTCTTACTGCAGGATTATTCATAGAAAATAAGCTATTTCTCAACCAGGATATGACAATCTTGGCATTCAGGTTTTTATATAGTGACGGGAGAACAGTAGAGATGACGTTGCAATGAGGAATGAGTCTTCCTCCCTTCAATATAGATTTTTTTTTTGCAGTTTGAATGCATTGTGTAGCAAAAATAAATGCTAGGCCATAATCTCCCAGCCGGGATGGGTGTTATTAGTTTTTTTTAAAAAAATAAGATCTGTCTCGCAAAAGGAATTTGCCATTATGATAAAATAAAAAAAAAATGGGTGAGATCTGCTGAATTCATCTGACATTAGTGACAGCTGTACTGATTGCTGTGAACAATTTTACATTTCCCATTTTCATTTGGAAAAGTTGATGGGTTTCAGTGGATAGGTTTTCAGGGGCATCTGGTGAGCTACAGCTGGCTGTATAACTTCTCATCAATAAGTTATTTTGAGTATAGCTCTTTTTCTTGCTTACAGATTACACTCTGTATTTCAAATTGCTTTTTAAATATTTAATTTGAGCCATTCTCAGCTTGCATGAATGAATTGTCCTGTATTTATCATTCCATAGCTGCACAGTGTATTTGGAGAGCTGTTATAAAAGGGCAATATTTCTACTCTTTATTGCCTCAATTTGTATAACCTATTTTGCTATCGGAAACTATTCAAACACTCTTTTCTTGAGGTCTGAAACTGTTGACCTTGAGCCATTTGCTGCCAGCATGGCACACAAGTTCACAAAAGGTGGCCTGAGCACAATTAGCAGAAACATGTCCAGCCGTTATCCGGAAAATGTTCCATCACAATGTATATATAGACCGAATATAAGAATGAAACTATAGATGGCTACACTCTCTTTTTTTCTTGTTTTTTGGTTTGAATGCTGTAATGGACATCTCGCAATAACATTTTGTTAGATGTAGATGTATATCAAGACACAATGTTGTCTTTGAGTGGTTTTTGAACAGTCCAGTAAGACCTGCTGTTCAGTGATATTTATTCTGAAGCAGACATGCATAGCTCTATAACCCAGATTTCTCCAGCTTGGTATCCTCCAGATGTGTTGGACACTGTACCTTTCAGCAAGCTCAGCCAGCATCTGGAACACAATAGGTTGTGGAAGGCTGCTTTAGACTGACGTGTTTTCATATTTCGAAGTAGATTCTTTGCTGTTCAAAGAATGGATTTTGCTACCAATCATTGGCCTTATCTATCACCACTTTTTGTTCTAGGTACAAACTGGGTGACTGCTAACAACAAGCCCTTTCTTTCCACCCGTTATGTAATCCGCAACCTAACATCTGGCGATAAACTTCACATTCGTGTGATATCTGTAAAGGGTGATGCAGTGAGTGATCCAGCAGTTCTGGACCATCCAGTTCTTGTCAGAGAAATTCTGGGTATGTATCTTCAGTGCATAAAATGTAGCCAGACATATGCATTAACATCAAAGCTCAGAAAAGTTACTTTTAAAATATCATTAATCTTAGAATGACCCAGCTGATAAGAGCACTAACCATGATGGCTTTTCCAAGTTCTTACGAAAGCTGATTATTCAAAGAAGACAGTTTAGAATCAATATAGCATGGTTTGTTGTGTAATTTCACAAATCATTTGGAGCTATCGTGATAGAAGATCAGTATATTTCAAGGAGGTATTGGATTGATAATCTGTGATTGAGAACGGGGTTTTTTTTAGAAACTGAAATGCAGCTGAGGAAAGCTGTCAATTTCTTTGACAAAGGAGTATGGTAAGAACGAGAATTTACCAGTTTTCCCATTCAACATTCTCTTTCAAGCTATTTACCCTATTGGAAGGGGTTCTCCCTCTCACATGAATGAATAATAGTTTGGTTTATCTGTATGCTGATCAGATTCATTTCACAGTTTTCACAGGTTCAAGAAATTTCTTACCATTAGCTCTGGCCTATATTAGTACCCGTGAATTACATCTACACTGCAGCTAAAAACATATTGCATGTGATATTATGAATTGTAGGTGCCTGCACTGTAGTGTGGAATGGAGAGTATATATGGAATAAATGGAATACGGTAGTTTCTGATTTCTGACTACTTCTCTTGTGCAGATGTAACATTTCTGTACTCTTCCCTATGTTGTCATTTGTTCACTTTAAATAATAGGAGAAACTTTGCTTCTAAATTGTACAACAGCTGAAATGAAAACGATCCAGGTACTCTACATATAGCAATCTATAAAGCTTGTAAAGAAATATATATGACCTTAAAAAGGTACAATTTAATAATAATTAACATTTTATGAACAATGAAGATTTTTATTAATTCTATTGCTTAGCACAGTAAATTGCACTAGAGTAAGCCGACTGAATCATTAGGGATTTGCGGAGTCAACTCATACATAAATTCCACTGATTCAAATCCCCACACTCCAGTTGTGACCTACTTTAATGTAGTAAGTCACAACTAGAGTATGACCGTTTGAATGGGCCTGCACTGGGGCAACTTACACACTAAGCAATAGGATTTCAGCCTATAAGTTTGAAAGCATCCTCACTTTCTTTAAGGTATTCTATCCCAGCTTATGACATAGCAAGTTATTTTGTGTAGAGTATACCATACCAAGACCTAGTATAACCTGGGAGAAGGATCACCCTCTAGACTAACCTAATTTCCACTGTGAGGGAGACTTATTTTTAGACAAACCTGTTGATGGAAAACTATGGAAGCTGATGGCAAACATCTTTGCCTGTCAGGCAGTTTACAAGTGGATTTTCTAGTGAAGCATGTAACCATGCTATCTGTCAACATAGACTCTAGCTGGGTTTATTGAAAGCCCTCCTTCCATATTTGTGCACCACCAACAGGTGTGGAAGAAGTAGATCTCCATATCTACCATAATTCTCTAGGCAGTGTCTTAAATCTAGATCTGAATGAGTTTGTCAAGTCAGAGAGTCTGACACCTTAAGAGTCCTACAGAATTTTATAGACCGCTAGGGAAAAATCAGAAGTCTGTGTTTTGGGTTTTTTTGTTTGTTTTTGGTTTTTGTTTTTGCAGCTGGCATTTACTCAAATCATGAATTAATTCCAGAATGAAATCAAACTATCATTTCCAATCATATCAAAATTCATCTGAGTATCAAAGGTCTGTTCATGATTTCAGTCATTCCAGACAACATCAGCTTATCCAATTAATTCTAAAAGCTTTATTTATCTACATTGCTTCTATGTTCCAAAAGCACAAAAATACTTCAAAGTTGTCAACATCCAAATGTTACATACAGGCATGAAAACTGTAGGCACAAATGCTTAAAAAATGAAGACTAAACTTAAGTTGCAGACAAGTGCTTAAGTCAGAATTCAATCCAAAATACAGGAGTATAAAAAGTACAATAAAATATCAAAATAATGTTTTAGTTACCTTCTAAAAATGTAAGAACTTAGAGCTATAAAAGGCATACTCAATAGACATGGAATACAACTGTAAAATATCAAAATTATTAATATCAAGTATCAAAAGTATTAAAATTAAAATCTATGAAAGTGAAATATTTTAGTTGCCTATGAGATATCTAGACATACATGAAAATTATTCTCAGTGCTCACCCAGTCAGACCAGTTACAATCTATGGATGAAAATATATTTTGTCTTTTTCTGCTGCCTTTGTTGCTGCTACTGTTACATAATGGTTGTTGATATTTGGTGTGGGTGTTGTGTCATTTTGCTTTCTTTTGTTGATGTGTTGGTCTCCTATCTCCCTATATTTATATTTCTCAGAGATGTTTACAATTTCTGCTCAAACTGTAAACATTCTCTTTTCCAGGGCCTGGAAGTTATAGGGATCTGATGCAGCAAGGAAATATTTATAGTAGGAATTTCTATTGTTTTTACATTTCCTGTAAATTCAAGGGCTTATAACTCAGAATCTGGCAGGCTGCCACCATGACATTAATCATTACAGTGGGGTCTTGACTTGAGAACTTAATCCGTATTGGAAGGCGGTTCTCAAGTCAAAAAGTCTGTAAGTCAAGTCTCCATTGACCTACAGTGCATTGAAAACCGATTAATCCCGTAACAGACCGTTTTTGTTCCATTTTGTTTTTGTTTTCTGGTCTGTAAGTCAAATCTCAGTCTGCAAGTCAAACCTAAATTTTGCGGCCAGAGAAGTCTGTAACTCAAAAAGTCTGTAAGTCAAGCCGTCTGTAAGTCAAGGGTCCACTGTATTGTTGTTCCTAAAGTTTGCAAAGCCTACCTAGTGGAATAAAGGCATGTAAACTAAAGGATCTAGTTCAGCCATTCTCGACGTCTTTTTGGCCACGGCCATAAACACATTAAAAATATATAGGCCAAATCAGGATTGTATACCATATTTTTCTGTGTATAAGATACTGTTGTTGTTTAGCCGTTAAGTCATGTCCAACTCTCCGTGACCCCATGGACCAGGCCCTCCTGTCCTCCACTGCCTCCCTGAGTTTGGCCAAATTAATATTGGTAGCTTCGATGATACTGTCCAACCATCTTGTCCTCTGTCGTCCCCTTCTCTTCTTGTCCTCACACTTTCCCAATATAAGGGTTTTTTCCAGGGAGTCTTCTCTTCTCATGAGATGGCCAAAGTATTGGAGCCTTAGCTTAGGGATCTGTCCTTCCAGTGAGCACTCAGGGTTGACTTCCTTCAAAATGGATAGGTTTGTTCTCTTTGGAGTCCAGGGGACTCTCAAGAGTCTCCTCCAGCACCACAATTCAAAAGCATCAATTCTTCAGCGTTCAGCCTTCTTTACGGTCCAGCTCTCACTTCCATACATCGCTACTGGAAAAAGCACTACTTTTGACTAAAATCACAAAATAAGACACTACTTTTTCCTAAAATTGTTATGCCAAAAATTGAGGGGTGTCTTTTACACAGAAGTAAGCTGAGAAGACAGAGAGAACAAAATGGCCCATACCTTGCGTCTGTAAACAGACTTCCTTCAGTCACAAGGCTTAGCCTCCTACAGGCAGGAGACTTAGCTTCCTCCAATCACAAGCCTTATGGAACGTGGAACTGACATCAGCTGATGCTGAACAAACCAACTGAAACTCACCTTGTTGGAGGCGGAATCTGTAGGCTCAGATGCAACAGGGACCCCTAATGTCTGAGCATTCTGAGCCCAGTGGCTGAATACTCAAAGCTAGGTTTTCTTAATTTTGGGGTTAGAAAAGTGGGGGGGTGTCTTATACACAGGGGCATCTTATAAACGGAAAAATACAGTAATTTGCATAATGGACATTATAAGTCGGTGTGTGAAGAATTGTTTCTAGTCTGTGTCCCCTTTCATAGCCCCTGTTGATAATGGCTGATCTGGTGCACCAAGGTACTGTAAACCATGGTATTGTAGTTACAGAAAGTGCAAGCTATAAGACTTGCAAATGCCATCTCCAGTCATATTACACATTGCAACTTGTTAACCAGACATGAATATCATGCCTTGGCGATCCTAAGTACACAAACATTATTGTTCTATAGACAAGAATAAAGGATTTGAGCATGAACCTATAGATTATGGCAATTAAATTTAGTGTCATGCCACTGCAGTTACTGAAGCCCATTAACTAGTATTTTGCAAAACACTATCTTTCAGAAAGGTGTGTATTTTTCATTGACGTCTGTACTCATTCTGGAACCTTAAACTTCTTTTTTTATTATCAGTGATTTAAATTCAATTTGAGTTTCAGAAATTGTGATGTTGCTACATTGGTGATCCATCTTTTACCAATATCAAAACTAGACTCGAATGTGGTATTTAAATTGTTCTTGCATTTAATCCAAATTGTTTAGTTAGAACTCTCTCTTGGGAGCACACCTTAATGTGGTAAGGGGGTTCGAGTATGCCAGGGAACCTGAGAGCAATGTTGTCAGGTGGCTAGGTTTCACCATGAATCTCAACTCATTGTAGGGTAACTCAAATCAGAATGATCAAAGTTTAGACACCAGGCCAAGATGCATCTACCCTCTTCAGGATTAATGGTTACATCAACAACAGGGAATCGACAGTTCCTGTGGTGATAGGGATAGAGAGTCTCCTGAAGGGCAGCTGTGGGCGGAAGCAGTAGTGAAAGGTGACACTGGCAGAAACTCGCTCACAGCAATGATATGCAGACTAACTTTTATTAGTACAAAAAGAAAGCAATGGCAAACTACTTCTGAATACAGTACTTCTTGCCTTGAAAACCCTATGATGGGACAGTCCAGAATAAAAGAAGGAGCAGTGCTGGAAGATGAGACTCCCAGGTTGGAAGGCATTCACTCAGCTATTTGGAAAGAACAAAGAACAAGTATGAATAGTGCTGTTGTTAATTAAGCAACTAGATTAAAGACAAAATAAAGAAACAAAACAGGAGAATGACTCATAAAATTCTGTGAAACCAACAACAATCTATTTATTGCAAATACATGCTTCAAACAACCAAACAGACAGTTCTACATGTGGATATCAACAGGTGATCAATATAGCAATTAAATGAAGGAAATAGATGGAGAAGTTGTACTCTCTCTGCCCAAACAAAACCAGGAGCAGATAACAGCAGTAATCATGAATTGCTAATATCTAAAAGAGTTAAGGTGGAAAAGAGCACTAAAAGGACTATGTTATGTTATGTGCCATCAAGCTGGAGCTTATAGCAACCCTAATAGAGCTTTCAAGGTACCGGTAAGTGAGATATTTAATGAGTAATTCTACCAGTTCAACACTCCAGTAAGTTTCCATGGCTGAACTCAGGCCTTCAGAGTCCTAGCCCATCTCTAGCCACTAGACAAGAACTAATTTGAATCATATTTCAGATGAGTTTAAAGTACTGTACATATAAAAAAATAAGAACAGAAGATGAGCCCTGCTGGATCAGGCCACGGGCCCATCTAGTCCAGCGTGGCCCCACCAGATGCCTCTGGGAGCACACAAGACAACTAGAGACCTGTCTCCCAATACCCCCCCGCTGCGTCTAAGAAAGGATGCAACAGGAACAGATCTCTTTCAGAAACGTCTCACATTTTTCAGTCTGTGGCCCCCTTCAAATGTGCCAGTGGCCCCCAGGGGCCATAGGGCCCCAATTGAGAATGGCTGTTTTAGTGCATGGATAAACATTGGTTGTTGCATCTTTAAGAAGCAAAGTCTGCTGTTCTTTAGGTGTATTGAAATGTCCAAAGAAATTAGGTCCTTTTCTTGAAGTGTTGTGTTTCTCTAGACTTATTAGGATCCATTCCAAGGAATGGATCCTGGGACCAGTTAGAAGGGTGGGTGAAGATGGTGTTTCAACTGCTTGGGTTCATCATCTTCTTCTCAAGTATACTTAATGCACTGCTTTCGTTTTAGGCACTCAGCTGGTAGAGTATCTTTCAACTTCATTTTAATCTTTCTTGGTCTTCCTTTACATGATCATGTCTGGAATGTAAGCTGCTGCACGTTTGAGCCTTGGACGCACACATGGCTCTTCTATTAAATCTCAACATAATTCCTTTAACACTCAGGGGGCTGCTTGCAAATATAGCATTCTAGGGTTACACCATTGCTATTTTAATGCTAGTGAAGGTGATGACAAGTCATAAACATACACAGCCTTCTTCTGCATTGCATACTGTTGTCTTTTATAGGGAACATATAAAAGTACATTTCTAGCATGTCTAATGGCTGCAGAGCTCATCCGCACCCATCCTTGTTTGAGCAGAGGGACCCTTAATAAGACCTAGATACCACAAAAATGGTCCTCTAAGGTGAAAGAACAGCCATCCTTGATTTCATATATGTGCAACAGATTTCTTAGAAATGTGATGAAAATACTTAGGGTAAAGTGTGCAAGCAGTCAAAACTAGGATGACTGCAGTCAGCAGTTTACCAAATACTAGCTAACCACAGCAAACACTATTGCATGAGATATCTGTACTTCTGGGTTTGTAAATGTTACCCAGTTAACACATGGTATTAGAAAGAAGCTTCAGTTTCTAGAATTCCCAGCCAATGTTGCCACTGCCCATGCTTGATGAGGCACCCTGGAGGTTGTGATATAAAAATGTGTGCATGTGTGAGAACACCAGTGGGAAGGCAGCCTCATGAGGCAGGGGCATGGGGGGTGGGATGTAAACAAGAGTTAATTCAATATATTTGGCCAAATGTTGTAGCATTGCTTTTACACATATATTAGTCAAAGCTGGCTCCAAGTTTGAGCATCCCTCAGCAAAGTGATATCCTGGGGGTACCCCCCCCCCTTATAGTATTAAAACAAAAATAAAAATTGAGTAACAATTTGTGAGGAGGGCAACAAGGATGATCAGGGCACTGGAACTCGAGTCTACAAGGAAAGACTGAAAGAACTGGACATGTTTAATCTTGAGACAGGAAGACTAAGGTGAGATGATACACTTTTCAAATACTTGAAAGGTTGTACAGAGGAGAGGCGAGATCTGTTCTCAATCATTTCACAGTACAGGAGATGTAATAATGGGCTCAAATTACAAGAAGCCATGAATATGAGGAAAAACTGCCTAACTGTAAGAGAAGAATGACAATGGAACCAATTAGCCCAGGAGGTGGTGAATGTTTCAACACTGGAGGCATTAAATAGAACTTTAGACAGTCATGCATCAGAAATACTTTGACTGGAATTCCTGCATTGAGTATGGGGTTGGACTTGATGGTCTTAGAGGCCTCTTGCAACTCTATTATTCTCTGATTCTCAGATTAGTTTATTTAGCTTCTGCTTCTGATGACTATGGAGAGAGGACAGTAACCCATTTCCAGAACTCAGAATATTGTATTATAAAAGGAATTAATCACATTACTCATTACATCTTGGCAACTAGATCTTTTCATTATAGTTGCTTCATTGCCCTTTGGGTATCTGAGTGATCTGCTTCTGCTAAGGTTTCTAACATATGGAGATGGATCTGCAGCAGTTCCACAATAGAGTTCCTCAATGATTTATACTTCTATATTTCTCTTTGTGTAATTCTTTGTCTAGAGCACCCCAAGATCCGGCTGCCCCGTCACTTGCGAGAATTGTACATGAAGGTTGTGGGAGAGACAGTGAACCTGGTGATCCATTTTCAGGTAGGTAGATCATGGTTTCTGTTTAGTTTCTTTTGCCCTTGGAGACATGAGCCTCTGGTTTGACATTCTAAGCTAACAATAGTGAAGACACCATGGTTGCAGAAGACAGCAAACTCTGACTAGCTCTAAGGTGGGTCTCAGTGGAAAGTAAGTTTTGGTAATGAAAGCAGGAGCAATAAGAGTAGATACATTGGTCCACTTCCAGACCATGTCAGTTTCTCAGTGCATATATTTCAAATATAAGTCAATTTTGTCTGATTTCCGAATCAGTCTGCATTAAAAAAATGCATCAACATTTTTATTTACAGTTTCCTCAGCCTTATATATTCTGAACACAGTCATAACAAGCATATATTTTGTACACAGTTTCTCCAGAATGGCATTATATTACAGACTGTAATGGCTAAGTAAAGCCTAGGTTTTTTGCATATAATATTTGAGCCAAAGATTACATCACAAAATGCATTCCCCAAAGAATCTGTGTTTCAGTCTATATGTAAGTCTGGGAAGTATGATAACTGAAAATGTTGATTAAACTGTGGACTGACAAAATTTCTCCCATTCCAAGTAGGAAGTTGACTCGACTTTAAATTAGAATTTATGAAAGTTCTGAAAGCAGTTCAGCTGCAATGGGATTTATCAGATTCCTGAGGGACAGAAGGGAGTTATGTGACAAATGGAAATACTGCTGGTTGAGAGGAAATTAATTAGAGCAAATGAGGGTTACAAAGAGAGTACAGCAGAAACCATTAAATCCCAGACTGCAACATCTAAATAAGTTCAAGCTGAACAGAAGTGTTTCACAGAAGCATTTCATTTCTATATTTCAAGCCATGCAAAACCCATCAGCCTTTGGCAGTCTCCCTATCCTCAGAACACTAATGAAAAATTGCCTTGTATTGATTTCCCTTGACGTTTCAGGGCACTACATTCTGTTACTAAATCTTCTTTCATCTTCCTGATTTAAAGGACTTGTACCTATGAAACAAACTGTCTCTATATTTTAATCAATGAAGTCTCTGTCAACATTGTTGATTGCATTAAGAAGGGAGAAGCGATGTGCTCCAGTCCAGCACAGGAGCGGGGTTGTCACCCAGTGTCTAAAATAGCTCTCTACCAAAAATAGCAAGCACTAACCAGATGGAGGAACACTAAGAGGCTTATAATAGGGTATGGCTCTTCATGCATTGCCTTAGTTCTTGTGTATTTGTAGAGAGATGGTACTGTGGATCTAGATCCCTCACGTAAAAGAGCAGCTGCTAGTAGCAACTGCATTTGATATATAGTACATTCATACTAGCTTTAGTAATCCTGTGGGGTGGTGTTACATCAGAATCCATGGCCTTTGGGGAAATTTTGCATGCATTCATCTCTCCCCCCTGACACACACACATTATGCCCATCTACAAACTATGCCTCTGACTGTATAAAAAGCTGTTGCTAATCCCTTGCAGGGATGGAAATAATTATTCTTCAAATAATCCAGAATATATATGATAGTAAAATAAATGTGTGTCTTTAGTCTTCTGATTTAGCTCAGACATCTGAATTAAGCAAACCACTAAACCCAGCTCAACAGTTCATTAACTAAGCACTCCTCAGAGTACATTTTCACACACCCATAGTCAAACAAGTAGAACTACGCAAGCTGTAGCAATTCTGTTGTGCATACCTTTCTCAGGGAAAGCCAAAGCCACAGGTGACCTGGACCAAAGATGGCCAGCCTTTGGATCCCAAACGAGTGTCTATACGCAACAGCGACAAGGACTCCATCTTCTTTATCCGGCAAGCACAACGCACAGATTCTGGAAAATATGAAATAAGTGTTAAGATCTTAGATGAATTAGAAGACAAGGCAACAATTCAGCTCCAGGTGGTTGGTAAGGTCAATACAATCTTATATGTAGTTTGCTTTATTGTCTAAAGAGTGACTAATCTAGGTCAATCAAAACCCTACTGTATAGCAAGATTCTCTAAAGCTGAGGTGAGCAACTGGTGACCTGCCAGACATAGTTCGATTGCCATTCCGTGCAGCCATGGCAAGCAAAGCCAAGAGGAGCAGATAGTGAGAACTGTCATCCAGTAGCATCTGGAGGACCATAACTTGTCATAACTACTACTTCCTGTATAATGGTTAACTGGCATAATTAGATATTTTGTTGTGTGCCATTTATGCCACAGAGAATTTCCTCCAGTTCCTGTTGCAGAGTTGTCTAGGTTACATAATTGGATAACAGGAAGGTCTGTAAAGACATTGAAGAATTTGGAGCCCTGTTTCTGGCATTAAGGCAACACTTATGTCTGTTGGCTGAAAACATATCTTATCATGAATGAAGCATGCCTTCCGTGGTGTTTTCTTTCCGCTGAATGGCTAAATGGCTGTTGCTTGTGTTATCTCCTGCCTGCTGTTCCATCAGTCTTTGCTATACATAGGCAAGAAGCTGTATGCTAAGATGTCAGTAATAACAAGTTTGCCTTTTGTGGGTTTTTCCCCCCAGAGAGGCCTGGCCCTCCTGAGAACCTCAAGCTGGTAGATGTGTGGGGTTTTAATGTGGCGCTGGAATGGACTGCACCCAAAGATACTGGCAATGCTGATCTCACTGGTTACACAGTCCAAAAATCAGACATGAAGACTAAGGTAAGAACTGAGGATTAAAAGGGCTAATAAGTTTGTTACGGGCTGTCAAGTTGGAACTGACCGTAAGTGACCCTAATAGGGCTTTCAAGGTAAGTGAGATAATTAAGGAATGGTTTTGCTAGTTCCACTGCCCTGTGAGTTTCCATGGCCAATGGGGATTTGAAGCCAGGTCTCCAGAGACCTAGTCCATCACTGTAGCCACTATACCACACTGGATAATCACTGAGGTGGATACAGTCCAGAAAAAGAGGAGCTGAATGTTGAAATTCTTACAAAAATCAGTTGTGGGCCCTGTAGTCCTCATCCCAACCCATTTTCCAAAATGGATTTAGCTCACCTGTTACTAAAGTTTTTGGGAAAATATTTACCTTTCTAGAGTCTTTCACTGTATCCCAAACACACTTTCCTGGAAAGAAGTTTCATTGAACTCAATAGGGCTAATTTATCAGCAGATGTGCAGAGGATTGCTCCGTTTATCTTGAATTAGCTGGAGGATTTACTTTAATCATATCTATGACATAGATGCAATTGAACACTGTGTATCTACTTTTATGTAGAGAACGCAAGAAATTCTCAAATATACCCTGAATTTGTTTTTAGCAGCATAGAAACTGCTGTGCCATTTCCATCTCTTTAATTCTCACAGCAACCCATGAGGCAGGTTATGATGAGAATAAAAATCATGTTAAGGTCACTAACTGATTTACAGCTAATTAGAGACTGGTTCTCTAATTTGGTTCTTCATACTCTGAGAAATGACACAGGGAGAGTAGCAGGAATGCCCTGCTTCACAGCATGAACATATGTTTTTCAGACCCTGGAATCTGCATGTTAATAGTGTCATTAACATGCTCCTGATTAAAAATCCAGATTAACATTCCAGGCATCTACAGCTTGTCTGGGAAATTCATTCATGTACTCCATATTAGTGACCTTAACAGTTCAAGGTTCTGTTGCTTACCTACAAAGCTCTCCACTGTTGGGACCCTCTTGCTTGGCAGAGCACCTTTCCCAAGAACATCTACCCAGGTCTACGCAGGCAATGCTTCTCCAGGTGGCCACAACCAAGGAGGCTAGGAAAACATCAACAAGAAGTTGGGCTTTCTCAGCTATGGCACCCACCCTCTGGAATCAATTCCCAGTCAATCTGTATCTGGTCCCCCTTACTTATGTAAGCCACACTGAGTCCTTTTTTAAGGAGAAAGAGTGGGTAAAGATACACACACACACACACAGAGAGAGAGAGAGAGAGAGAGAGAGAGAGAGAGAGGAATTCCAAGCCAGCTAAGCACTTATCATAGCAAGAGCTAAATGACTTTGTCTGGATGGACAAATTTGTCAATTTTGCTTTGTGACACATTAAAAAAGATTAAATCTCTACTTTTTTCACGTGAATTATGAGAAAAGGTATAAATTTTGGCAAATAACTAACTGAAAAGTAATATTCACCCATTGTTGTAGTCATAGAAATTGGTCAAGATGGGCATGAAGTGCGACAAAGCACATTATGAAGCTATCAGTCCATCTCCCACTCACCTCCAATTGGCTGGCCCACTCACTGTCCTTTGTATACTGGCAGGGTCCTTCTCTGGTGATGCTCCAATCTGGGCAGGATCTTGGTTGTCCTGTCCCCACCTCCTCAGGCAGCTGACCACTGATATGGAGGCGGAATGGGAATTTGCCCTGTGCAGCCAAGTGGCTGGCTGCTGGAGGAGGCAGGGGCAGGACAGCCCCACCTCCTGACAGCTTCGTATGAAGCACTTCCTTGCACTTCATGTCCATCTCTAGAAATTATAGAGTACATAGAATAAATCCTACCTCTTGTTTCCACTAGAGAGTAGACGTGTAAAAAAGAGGTATAAACTTCTTTATTAAAGCACTTCTTCCACCTGTGTTTGATGGCACAAAAGCATTTGAGAATTGTGTCAAGTTCTTATTTTAAAAAGAAAAAGAAGAAATGGGGGTATAGAATAAATGGAATTCAGACATCTCTTATCTTTTGCACCAATGAGTTCTTCGGTATTTTGCTTGGCTCCCAGAACTCATGAGCCCAGATCTCAAGTGTAACCAAGCTTTGCCATGGGTTGGATCCCAAAGGTCTATTGCGAGATGAAGAAAATCAATGTACAACTAGTATGCAAATATCACCACCATCATCTTAATCATCTTAGAACTGCAGAGCTGGAAGGGAATGTATGCCCATATGGAAATTCCAGTAGTATTTCTGTCTCATACCTGTCTGAACACCTAGAGAGACTATGGGTCTGTCCAGACAGAGGAGCGGTCTGGTTCACATTTAAAAGGTACTTATCTTCAGTACCATCTATTTTATCTCTCACTTGATCAATTCTTCTGTTCACACTGGAGATGTTAATTCTCCTGTGGGAAAGGTCCACACAGGTCCCTGGCTTGAGAGTTTACTCACAAGCAAAGTTTACCTGGTTTACTCTCAAACATGGTTTACTCATGGTTTACTGATGTGTAAGTTTACCCCATTTATGAGGCAATACTAGAAGAAGCAGTAGCAGAGAGCAGCAGCAGCATAAGGGGAATACATTGGGGTGAAGGTTGAGGAGATGGAACACAGGTAACGCCCTTCTTTTCTCCACCTTTCTGCTCAGCTGGAGCTCTGCTGGGGCTGTGCTGTCTTGTGGGGGGGGGCAAGGCTCATGAAGTTGACATGGAGTTGACTTCCTTGCCTTTTCTTGCAGCCATCATTCAGGGAGCTTCAGTGACGTGCCCAAACAGCAATGCATCAATCTCACATGGTATTAGAATTCTGCTGCATCAATTAAGGAAATATTTTTTTAAAAGTAGACAGAAATAAAGAAAGGGGCTTCTCCATCTTCCCTTTCAATGTCACAACCCACCCAATACATCACAGCATTCTCACCTCAGATAATGCTATCCACAGGTCCATTTATATGTGAAATAACCGTCCACACAGGCTACACAACAAGATAATTAGAAGCACACTAAATTGTACCAAAAAAACAAAAAAACAACACCCTAGCACTATGCCAGAAAGGAGCAGGACTACTCTTAAATGGGCATGATGGAGCAATCTAAGTAGAAATATGTGTGGATGCCATAATTTTCTTTGAGCCAAACTGTACCAACAGCAATCTATATACCTGTCTGGACAGGGCTCACGTCTTTCTACAGCTCAGAATACAGACTTTTCCTCCTCTAGATATTCCAAGCAAATGTGTTCTATAGCTGCAAAATTCTTTCTGCTAGGTGGCACTGTTATATTTATTTGTTCATTTGCTACATTTCTATCCCACACTGCCTTCCTGTCTCAATCTTCACAAGAAACCTATATGGTAGATTGGACTCAGAAAGGAAAAAAAATGACCCAAGAGCTCCAAGTAATTTCATATAACAGTGGAAATCTGACCCCAATTTTTAAATTCTATTACACCGCACTAACACTGATTTAGATTCTGTGTCCACTCATCAGGAGCTTTGACTGTGTAGCAAAATACCCATCAGCATCTACCTCATAATAATTGAGAGCACATTAATTTGACGTGTACAGAATTTGGCCACAGTTAGTTAACATAGAAGGAAAGAAAGAACACTGATAACTACTATGGGAAATGAAATGGTCAGAGTATTTATAGTATTGAATCACGGAAACAGTATATTGAATAAGAAGGTAAATCAGGATTTTTTTTAAAAAAAAAGTATGAACAGAATTATTTAAAACAGCTAAGCAGTCAAAACAGCCCGATAAATATGCCCATATTTAGTGCAACATTTTTTTTCTCTTGAGAACCTTTTAGTCTCTGGTCCCCTGTCAGCTATATCTATTTCCGAAATGGCATTAGGTCAGCCTGGTTTGCTTTTGTAGCAGAGCTTTGTTCCTGCGATCCAATCATAATTCTCCTGGACTTGGCACCCTTAGCTATTTCTAGAAGCCTGGAGCTGCGGCATGTGCCTCACGTAGTTGCTCTGTAGAAATATTCCTAGCATTTCTGGGTGTGTTCAACCATATGCTCAGGCACAATGTACACACATAAGCAAGAATGCACATTTAAGAGCTACCATGTACATAGCTATGTGGCATGTCTGTAAGTTCTTTCAACTCATGTACACACAATGGAAAGCAAGGGAGTAGTCATGTTTCTTGAGGTTTCTGCAGGTAATGAGGACAACACGTGCTAATCTTTAATCTGTATTTTCTTCTGCTGTGTTTTATGAACCAGTTCATAGTCATGCTTTCCTAGCCCTCTGTGGCGTCCACCCTCATGCCCATTTGCTTGACCTTCAAGCCCCATAGCACACGAAGGCAAATGCTCTCTCCTTTTACACTTGCTGCCACCAGGTGATCTATAAATCACCATTACTTCAGAAAGATTCAGGTCCACACTTCAATTTCTTTAAAATAAAACTTTGGTTTATTGATTACAGTGATTCATAAATATCTTCAGTAACTAATCACATCTAAATTTCCCAAACTACACACTCTATTACTCTATCTGGCTTTTCTCTCCTGCCTGACTCTTACATTTCTCTCACTGACTCTATCTCACTTAATCTGATTTAAAACTCCTCTGACTCTCTGACCCCGCCTCTTATAGCATCTCTCTTGACTCCGTCTCTCAGCAACATGAATATTCATTAACCATTACATAATACAACAAGAACCATAGATCTAATAAATGGAGAATGCTACACTCTCCATCCTTAGACTTTTTGTTTACTTCTATTCTTTTACAAATTTCTTCTCCATGTACGAGGATGTACTAAAGTGAAGCACTTCGTATTCTTCCTTTCAAACTGAGAGACTACTCAGATGTTCACAAAAATATACATGGCTACATGGTGTAGCCTTTTACAGAAGGAAACCTTTAAGATGTGGAATAGATAGTCACGAATGTTGTGTCATAAAAACTCTCCTCCATGCCTGTGAATCAAAACTCTCATACTGTATCAAGATATATGACTTCTGCACTCTTCTGTGCAATATGGAAGAATCTCAATTGTTCCTTATATGTCACATAGCTGTGTACATGTTAGATCTTAAATGTACATCCTTGCTTATATGTGTGCAATGCGCTTGAGCAACTGTCAGAAGAGCAGTTCTTAGTATGGCCCATAAGTTGGAATTAAAAGTAGGGGAACAGGAGAGATGACTACAGAGAAGATGAGTTTTTGCTTTGTTTGAATTGTATCCTGTCTTTCTCAAGAAGGAATTCAAGGTGGCTTGCAAATGGTTTGAAAAACACAAATATTAAAACAATTTCAAAATCTAGAAAAATCACATTGTGAAAAATGATTAAACATGTTAATTATTAAAAGGGAGACAATAAAAACCCTGTCAAGACTAGTTAAAAACACACCTGTACTAAATGATTTGGCAATATGCAGGAAGAGCAATAGAGGTAAACAACAAAAATTAAACTGGAGGGAAGCTGTTATGACAGGTGATACCTCTTCCTCATCCGCCCTTAGGTTAAAAAACAACAAATTCAACTCATCATCATCCCAGGACAGGTCTGCTGGTGGATGATGTCACCTGTTCACAGTTCTTATCTTGGGATAGCTTGGGTTGCTGCCTCTCATAGTTTCTAGAAATTTACATATGTGGCTGAAAACAAATGGTAAGTGTCTGAAGAGGCCAACAGTATGGACACTTCGTGTTTAATGTTCAGTTTTCCATGCTTTCCAGCAATGGTTCACAGTTCTGGAGCACTACAACCGCACCAGCTGCACAGTGTCTGATCTCATCATTGGCAACAGCTACACCTTCCGAGTCTTCTCAGAGAACCCCTGTGGCCTAAGTGAGAAAGCTGCTGTCAGCAAGGATGTGGCACACATCAAAAAATCAGGTAGGGACCAAAGGTGTATGGTAGAAAAGAGGAGAACAGTCTATCCTTTCTCTTGTAGAGCTAACAATAAGTTGGTTTAAAGGTCCTCCATGAAAGACAGTCATGCCAGCCAGGGTTCCAAGCTGATTATCTCCAGCCTGGGCCAGCCATTGGCTATGTTGGGGACAGAATGAGGGCTAGTACTGCAGTTGGTAGAAGAACTTGCCTTGAACTCGCAAAAGCTGGAAATGCATGATTATCCATTCAAAAAGTTAAAAACACAGTGAGAAAGAGGAATTGCTTCTCATGGAGTGTGTGCTTCTGGTAAACAGTGCTCCTCCCCACCCGCTCCTGTTTTAGTATTACATGAGAAACTTTGAAACCTGCTGTGTCTCTTGTTTACAATTACATACTTGTCTTTCCCTTTGCTCAGCAATTATGTACAAATCAGAGAAGTTTAACAGCCGGGATTTCTCTGAACCTCCCAAATTCACCCAACCTCTAACTGACAGGATCACCACCCGAGGCTACAGTACTCAGCTGGTCTGCTGTGTTCGCGGCTTTCCAAAGGTGAGCACAGTTCTGGGTTGGACGTTCTTTGGACAATGACCCTCCATAGTAAGACAGCATCCTGTCGCAAAGCCAGGAAAAATGATCTGAGGTGTTTTCTTAGGTACCATGAGATGGGCGACTTCCTTTATTGTTACGGGATGATGTTAGTTACTGAAGGACAGGTTTATCTAGTTCTGTTTGCTGTTACTTTTACAAGTATTCACACTATTCTGTCTCTTGACATGGTTCTTTTAACTAAGGATTGTATTACAGTATTTGGAGAAGCGCAGTATCCAATAGACAGCTATGTTCCAGTCCAACAGAGGTAGATTAGGGAAGTGTGGCTCCTTAAGCATCTCTTTAGATCGGGGGTGAGAACCATGTGGCACGGCAGACGCTGCTGGGTTGGACTTCCATAATTTCTAGGCAGTATTGCATTGTGAGGGATGATAAGAGTTGCAATCCAAAAATATGTGGAGGGCCACATTTTCTCCATCCCTGCTCTTGCATCAGTGTGAACTTCTCCCCATGAACCCATATTTAACTATACTGGAACCTGCTCCTCCCTTTTGCTGTGAAATGCCAGGTATACAACTTACCCTATCTATTTATTTTCCCCATTTTGACAGGGACTGAAGGTATTGTGTTACATTCTACAGTAAAGAACTCTCAACGAATGAATACTTGGTTCATGACAGATATTTGTAATTGCCCAATTGACTTACACAGTATTGGTAGTATGATTATAAGTAACCCAAAGTGAAAACAGATATTATATATAGCCACATAGCTTGTTGTTAGAAGAGGAAAATCCTTAAAAGATAGCTATATGAGAGTGTCGCTAGTGGAATGTCACCTTCTGGAGTATGCAAGTTACTTGCCTTCAGGACTTAAGCAAGGATTCCTTTGATGCTTAAATACAAATGAGTGCCTCAGACTCTCTAACACAAATTACTTTTAAAATTGCTTTGCTTTGGCTCCCACTGCATAATAAAATGGCACTATACATGACATTTTCTTGTGATTGAGGTGGAGACATATGCCTTTTCCCAACTTCCTGGATGCCCAGAAATTTCTTAGAATTTGTTGGGAACTCATAAGCAATAGAGTGCAGAGGGCTTGATCCGTCTCACAGTAGAAAAAGAAAAAGTCATAACATGAGATTCGTAGATTGACTCAATAAAGGAATCACTGCCTTTAGTCTGCCTGAGAGTTTTTGCTAATGACTGGAAAGAGAGAGAGAGAGAGAGGCAGAGTGATGGATACACTTTGTGCAACCCTTTTTCAGAAAAAGGAGGTTGTGATCTGTGACAATACCAAGAGATTGTCAGTAACACCCTGTCTTTCCAAGTAAGAAGGGTAATGTTAGAAAAGTAATGAAGGGCACAAATTGTCTAGAAACCTTAACTAATTAAGGGGAAATTGCTGTCAAACTGGAGCAAATGAGCCTCCCCTTCTCTTTATGAGATACGTGTTCATTTCTGCTGTTTCAATCCCATTGCTCTGTTTCAGCCCAAAGTGATCTGGATGAAAAACCAAATGGAGATTCGAGAAAACCCCAAGTACCTAGCTATCATGAACCATGGTGTTTGTTCTCTTGAAATCCGAAAACCCAGTCCCTTTGATGGGGGGATTTATACCTGCAAAGCTGTGAACCCTTTGGGAGAAGCCTCTGTAGACTGCAAGTTAGATGTGAAAGGTAAATCTATTTGGGCCATTTGCTCAAGCGTTCATGTTTTCGTGCAATTTTCAAACTTTTGAAGGGAATTTGGTGGCAGTTCTGAAGGAATTCCCACAAGAAATTGGATTCTTTTGTCCTTTGTACTTGTGCCAGGCTAAATCATGCAATGAACTGCAGATCAGCTCCTCATAGAGATGTGCTCGACATGTAGGATCTGCTTGCTAGATGCAGTTGAAGGCTAACATTCTGCCATCCATATGCTTGGAATACTGGAATCCCATTCCATCTTTGACATTCCAAGCACCACTTACATACATTGTTAATCCCGGTTACCATTTACATAGCTCCCTGGGGTATGTATTCATAGTGCTTCTAATACATTTTTGGCTGCAATCTTGACAATGAGTCTGTTAGTATGTTCCTTATACTGCAGTAGGGAGGGAGCCTGAGTTACTGTGGATTGTCTAAAGACCTTTCCCAGATGCAGATTTAAAAGAAATTTTTAAATAAATGGAGAACTTCCCCTTTGTAGGTAAGCGGAAAAGAAGCTTCTCATTTCTAAAGATCATTAAATGGTTTAGGCAAAGCAAGGAGCAGGAGACAGGAGGAGGGGACTTTTCTTTCTTTCTTTCTTTCTTTCTTTCTTTCTTTCTTTCTTTCTTTCTTTCTTTCTTTCTTTCTTTCTTTCCCTTTAAAGATCATAACAAACAGGATTGCTTGAGTTGTGGTGTGGATTGCCCCAAATGGCATACCACACCTCAAAGTGACTCTGCTCAGCATGATCTAGACCAATAGCGCTATCAACCTTGGATCCCCAGATGTTCTTGGACTACAAAAAATCCTGGCCAGCATGGCTAGTGGTGAAGGCTTCTGGGGGTTTTAGTCCAAGAACATCTGGGAACCTGAGGATGGGAACCACTAATCTAGATCAATTCAGGCTAGGATAACTGGACCTTCTAATCACATCCAGAGTTGTAGCAATTATGAATAGCCTTCCAGGCTTGAGATGGGAAGCCATGATCTTCTGTTCCCCTGATCCGCTGTCTGAATCATGTGGCATACTATGGTTCATAGGATGACAGGCCCTGATATCACACCAACTTGGCTTATGGTTCTAAGTTAGAGGAAGTAATTTTTTACTAAATGTTAGGGAATGTTCTCTATAGTCAACACACTAGAAAAATGATCTGGCTTCGAAAGAATGTGAGAGGTTAAGAACAGTCCCAAGAAAAGGGTGACAAGGCATCAATTCAGGAATTTTTTTGCCCTTGTGGCAGGATTCCCAAACCTTAAGTCAACAATTCAGCCAAAGCAGAAACAGAAAACATTAAACAACAACAACTAGCTAAGACAGAAAGAGTGTGCATGTCTTCCTCTTGGCAAACTTGACAATCAAAAGGATGACATACCATGTGTTATATCAGATCGTGTTTCCAGACTCTGGAATTTGGTAACCTTGAAGTATTTCCCTAATAGGATGCATTTAAATTTAACTATGCAGCTGAGATATTAATTTCTACCCCAATCTATTAATGGCAAGGACCACCTGCAAGTGAACTGACTGGCCTTCTTCCTCTATAGGAGCGCCAACCCAGCTGGACAGCCATAATTTATTTCCCACACAAGGTTTCTTGCTCAAATTTCCTTACTGTAGGAAAGAGGTTCCCAGCCCTCACTTCCAGTGGGACGAGGCAGATCTCCCAGGCAAACAAATATAATATCCACAAGAATTTGCTCCTCTTGTTCCAAAGATCTCATCTAAGCAACAGATTCAGGAGATGTCAAACACTTGCAAGCTATCAAACACATTTCTTACTTGACAAAGTCCAAGTACTTAGAAGGGATTTCCCATTCCCCTAGTAATGTGGCTTCAAGTTCTGTTATTTCATAGTGCTTAAGACAACCCGCCTTAAGACAGAGACAGCTCAGTTCCAGCTGGAGGCATGAACTATAGTCAGCTAAAACTGTTGTCTTTGTAAAGTTGCCAGAATTTTCAGAGAGAGTAAAAATGCACACATATGTACAAGCACTACAATCCTCATTATTGCTTGCTTATGAAATTGTTGACAAACTACAGCACATTTAAAAGAAAACCCAGATATTTTGGAGAATATTGTTAACTGAACCAACTGATTTGAAAGACTAGTTTAGCAAACCTCTGAATTACATAGTGGTGCTGTCCAGCCCCAAACAGAATTTTAAAATCTTGTTTGCCCACCATACCATAGCATACCAGACCATAGCATACCAGATCAGACCAGACTTAGGTGTATGAGGAAATAAAATCTGTTTTTAAATTATATTACCTCAGCCTGACTGAAACTATTCCATTATGAATAAATAAAAATAGAAAACTTCAATATCCCAATACCTGAGTCTTATCATGTGATCTTCTGAACAGGTAAGGGCTAAGAAACAGAGTTGCACATGCTGGCCTTGAACCCCAAACTACCACCCTCTGCTTGCTCGGGTGCTAACCTCTCCATCTTGAGCAGCAAGGTCTGCAGAAGAGTTCTGCTTGGATTCACTTGCATGCAAGTAGAGCACTGTGCAATCCTTTCTCTCTGCTGTCCTTCCCCCTCTCCCATTTAATCTCCTTCTGTATATCTCTGTCTACCCCCTTGTAGTTTTCTTTGTGTTTACCCTCTCATCTGTTTCCCTCTTTCTCTCTCTCTGTCCTTCCTTGTTGAAAACCCTATCCCAATACAGCAACTGGGCTCAGAGGGAAAAAGTGATTTTGACTCCCATCCCACCCTGTTTCAAGCATTAGTTCCCAACCTTGGGCAAACCAGGTGTTCTTGAACAGCCAACACAGCTCGTGGTGAAAGCTTTTGGGAGCTGCAGTCCAAGAACATCTGGGTTACCTAAGATTGGAAACCAGGGACAGATCTACTATGAAAATAATGAAGCTTAAGCTTCAGGGTCCTTAATCCTGGAGGGGGCCCAGAAGTGATTTTAAAAAATTGTGGTGTTTTGTCATGGAACCACCTCATTGAAGAAGTTAACATTGGTTACCAAGACTTTGTTGCTGATTGCAAAGGAGACCCCACGGTAGTTCAAGCTTCAGAGTCCACAAAATGTAGGTCTGCCACTATTGGGAATCATGGCTTTAGAGTGCCTGCTATTAGGGGGTGGGATCTGAGAGTGAAGTGTTCAATTCTCTTCAACACAAAATAGCTCCCCCCAGCACAGCAAAACCCATGTTCTGTTTGAACCTTTAGATCTCCAAAGCCTGGCACCGGGTGCTTCTACCAAATGAGGTATGCCAGATAATCAACAGGGAGACAGCTGTTTCAATAATGTGCAATTATGGTCTGGTCCTTGTTTTAATTCTGTACTTCAGCTGTGTTGTTAGTTTTCAAGCAGTTTCTAGCAGCTTAAATTGTATTTTAGTTCTATCTGTTTTGTGAACTAACCAGAGAACCTCAATTACAGGGTAGCTATATCTCTTTGGGAAATAAATACAATTAAAGGTAGAATAAAGGGTCTATCTACACAAATGAGATTTTTTCTTCTTCCCAGTAAGCCAGTTAGGGAGGCCAGGAGAAAGGTGATCTGTCGAAACAAAGGCTGGAAATTTCCAATGTTTTGCTTTACTCAAATAAAAGGCAGTAACCATACCAATTAAAATCCTGTTTATTTCTGTTTCGATTTAATATCATAACCTCCCTCTGCGACAGCTACCTATCTGGAGAGTGCTGTAAGTGTACAGATGATTGCTCAGTCTAAAAGCTATAGAAGCCCAACCCTCCCACTTCTCCCTACCCCCCTCCACACACAAAAGAGCAAAGTTGCAAATCTTATGTGAATGAAACTGAGGCTGCAACTACATGATCAAATACCACAGGATTTGGCCCGCTTATAAAATGTGTGAATTTGAAGTATTTGAAGAATACTTAGTTGTTGTTTTTAACTAATCACATGATGCAAAGGCTGATTTGAATCGGTCCAGAACTTTTTGGTCCCAAAACAGCTTTTTTTTCTCTACTGCTGGAGGGCTTCTTCTTTTCAACCCAGAACAATTTGAACAGCTTTTGTCCTATTGTTGGTTTTGATACATTCTTGTAAAGATGTGGGAGGGCATGTCTGTAGCTGGTGTTTTGGTGATGTAGACAGTTGGGGCTTGATGTTCCGGACTGTGGGAACACATCCACATATTCTTTTCTCTCCTATGATAGGCAACTGAATTTTTTTTATATTTAAAAACAAAACCTTACATATATGAGATTAGCGCTGGGTTACTCTGTCACCTTACCACTGGGACCTCATTATAATCATGTGCTGCATTTACACCCATAAAAAGATCAGCAGAAGCAGGATCAGAGGAAGGAAGGAAAGAAGGGGGCTGTGGGCTGGAGTGTGAATTGCATTTCATCCAGGATGAACAGTGAATTCCCAAATCCGCACCTATGTGAGCACCGACTGTGTTTTTAAACATAATAGAGGTTGAGAATCAAATTGCAGCAAAGCCAAATTGCTCTTATCTCACTTTTCAATGTAGTCACACACTAAGTCAGAAAGAGGTTTTAGAAATGGTGAAGAGTTTCTGGTATGTGCTCATATTAGGAGGGGAACTTTAAAAAGGAGTCAATAATAACTCTGTAAAAGAGATTCTGAAAAACAAGAAACTTTAAACATATAGTGCAGTGGTTCCCAAACTTTTTGACTTGCAGCTCCCTTGACTTACTGGCCAGTGGCCATGTCTCCCCAATATGATACTTTGGGGAGCGGAAGGGAGGGGAAGGATGAGTGGCTTCCATGGCACCCTGGTTGGGTTTTGTGGTGTAACAAAGTGCCATGGCACACAGTTTGGGAACCACTGATAGTGGATCAAACACAGTTCACTGTCTCTAATCACCTCCTTGTGGTACTGAGTCCTGGTGGCATGAATCCAGTGGTGGTTTTTTACTATTAAAAATCTCCCTACTCTGCCTCATGACTCCCAAATGCTTCCTCAGGGCAAAGGGGAACCCTATGGCATGTCAGAACCTGAAAGGGGGGGGGAATAGGAAGATTTCAATTACTTTATTTCTGGCACCAGATACAGTTTACACTGGCATAGCAGGATTTTGCTCTATATGTGCTTTTTTTTGTGGAGCATATAATGAAGAATTTTAGAAGGGTGAATATATTTGCAAAGGAATAGCTCCCTTCTCTTTCCTGGAAAAGGTTCTAGTTGAGCCACCTGGGGTCCCCATAGAATCTTTCCATGTAATATGAGAAGTTCTGATTTAAAGTTGAAAAGCGTGTGCTGACAGTAATATGTTGCCAACAGGATATAAGCTATAGGCATGAAGAGATGCAGCCAGTCATGCATACTAATGTTAGTATTTTTTTTAATATATTTTTTGCAGTTCCAGAATGAAGATGGTATGGAGAATCAGATGAAAATTAAGGTGTGTTTGCAACCTGGTCCATCAGTGATTATGCCAACTTAAATATCGGCTCAAAAGTCAGTATCAGACATTAGACTACAAGACTATTTGCCATTACTGCTGGTGCACCTAGCTGTGTCATGCAGAGACAGGGATGTAGTGGAAGGAAAGATGCAGATCAGATATTTACCCTATAAAAATTGTGATGGGGGTTCTGCTTCAAGAGTTTATGTCCCATAGGGCAGGGCTACCCATCAGCCAGATGGACAATATCAAAGTGAGTGAGACTGGGTTCTG